GAAAAGATTGAATTATAAAGTTGAATTTTGTCTTTTGCTAACATAGTACTAAGTTTATAAAGGATAACAATTTTTTTATGATCTGAATTTAATGGAGTTCGATAAAAGAGTTTAAGTTCAATGTTTGGAATATTGGATATGTAGGATCGGTAAATTAGAGAACTTTTGAAGATACATGCTACTGTATAGTCTGGTGTGTGATTATGTTAATTATCTGTAAAAACATATTGAATGTTTTTGACTTTACAAAGGAAGCAGGTATGGTAGTGTTGGGAGTGAGCAATTATAGCTGTAGGAGCTGGATTTGTTTAAAAGTTTGGAAAAAGGAGATGTGCTAAGGAGGAAGAAGAAGAAGAAATTGAAGGTTGTGTTTGGTCTACTAGTTTAGAAATTGGAAAAGCAGGTAGTTTATTTGATCGTTTAAAGCTTTGTGCAGAGATAGTAGTTCTAATTTGGGTTTGAGTTGGGTTTGGAGGTTGATTAATTGTTGTTGGATGAGTAATTTTATAGTGTTTAGAGGTAAAACTTGTATAAAACTTGTCACAAAGGCAGGTTGCGATAGCAGGTTGAAGAGGAACTTTAAAGTAATGATGTTGTTTTTTCTCATCACAGATATCAGGTTTAGCAGAAACTGGTAAGACACGTAATGCTTGAGGTTTATTTTCTTGGAGTCCAACTCCATATCTGTCTTTATATTTAGAATAATAGTAGTCAATATAATAGGAATCTGGTCCTGAGAGTCAGTTAAAGTAGGCATTTTTGAGATCAATTTTTAAAATTGGAATGTGACAAATAAGGGGTATGATGACTAAGGAGGTGTGACAAATAAAGGATGTGCCAGCTAAGGGGGTGTGATGTTTAAAGCAACACCCAATGTGACACCTAAGTGATCGACGTAATTACCGTATAACAAGAATTGTATAATTTAGTTAAGACTAAATTAGTAAAACTTAAAAATAGATAAAACAAAGTTAGATTTATATAAATAGATTAATAATATTGATTAGTAATTTAGATTTGCAGGTCTGAGCGTCCTAGAGGACCAGAATTCACTCAAAAAGTAGAAAAAATTTTTTGCAAAAATAAAATATAGTTTCTAAGAGAGTTTTGAAGTATTTTAACTATATAATTGTCAGTTTTAAACTATTTATAGTGTATAATATATCAAAATGACGGCAAGAATGAGCTGAACAAGTTTGTTCTATGTAACAACTATGATTTATTTAATAAACTTTTGAGTTTTTGTAAAAAGAAGAAAATTACAAAGTTTAGTTATATCCCAGTAATAAAAACCTTTGGGGATATAAAACTGGGCTATCTATATGTAAAATTCTGTTAGGAACAATTTTACTTAGACAGCCAAAATAGGTTCACTTAATAAAAAATTGAGAAAAGAGTAATTATATTTAGAGAAAATTTGGTACAAGTAATCGTCAGGAAGAGTTAATGATTTGCCTGCAATTGTGTTTATATAGAATATGAAAATTAAATATGATTAGTAAGTAGTTTAACTATGAGACAAAAACATATAAAAAAACAGAAAGTTAAAGATACCAATAAAAAACAGAAGATTAACAAGAAAGTTTTTCTAAAACAAAATAATACACTTGATAGTTTTGTTGACATTGAAAAGATATCAAATAAAGATAAAGTTAAGAAGATTTGAAATAATTTAGATCCAGAAAAGAAGTCATTTTTATTAAATAAGTTCAATCAGATGCATGCAGATTGGATAAATTTATTGAAAAATAAATTAACTAGTCAATATTATCTGAACATTAAAAAGCAAATTATCAATATAGAAAATAAAGGTGTTGAAGTACTTCTACCTAAAAATGCTAGATTTAGAATTTTAAAACTCCACCAAGCAATATATCAGTAATTATTGTTGAACAGGATTCTTATCCAAATGATGCAGATGGTCTAGCTTTTAGTTCAAAAAATATATAACCTTCACTTAGTAAGATCTTTGATCTCTTGAAATAAGATCTCAAAGATATAAATTAGGTTAGACCTAAAACTGGATCTTTGGAAAAATGGTCAAAAAATATATTATTAATAAACTTGATTCTGATAGTCAAGAAAGGAAAATCAAGATCATATAAAAAAATCAGATAGCAGAAATTCACAAATAAAGTTATTAAACTAGTTGAAAATAATCCAAATGTTGTAACATTATTGTGAGATAAATTTGCACAAGAAAAAGTAAGTCTTCTTAAAGAAGGATATATTATCAAATCTGGATATCCTTCATCATTGAATAGAGAAAGGTCTTTTGATAATTCTAGGTGTTTTTCTTGTACAAATAAATATCTTAGAGATAAAAAAATTATAATTGATTAGAATTTGTAACATGTACTTCTATATTTAGTTATGTACTTTTTTTTTTTTTTTTTTTTTTTTACTTTGGCGACAATGCCAGTTGGTTTTTATTAGCTTTAATTTGATATAGTACAAATTTATGGTTACATTTTAGGATCAATTATTACTAGTACTATATATTATCTAATTTAACACCACTGACTTCACCTAGTTACTCTTATGGCATCTAAGTGCATGTCTGCTACATGCCTGCACGCAGTTATCTTGACAACCATTTGCAGTCATGACATATATTAAACCGCTACACAGACAAGAATACCTACTAAACTTAATGCGGCATCCCAAATGCCATGAGTACTGTCTTCTGTAAATCATACCTATATGTCCTACTTACATGTTTTATCTGGTCTTGTTTCTTCTACCTCCTAATCTAACTATATCTAGTATTACCTTGTTCTTCATATTTCCCACCTTTTCATCACTGTATCACTCCCAAATTGGTTCTACTTGGGTATGTCTGATCCTTATAATCTTTTCATTTTTGGTTTGCTTATTATTGATTCCCTAGGATCTGCAATGAACCTATATCTTAAGCCAGATTTGCTGCTGTCATTGGTCTTTTGACCAATCTGTATTTTAAGTCAAACCTGCTATCATCATTCCTGCAGATGCCCCAGGTCTTAATGTCATACAATAACTCGATGCTGCATTTAACCTCCAACATAGTGCTTTCTTTTATGATAAAGACTGGGACTTGTTGTACTTACAAATAAGACAATTCTGATTATACTTAGGGAGTTCCTCTGACCTTAGTAATACCATACTACAATGTATTGCAAGCTTTCAGCTTATTTGACAATATCTGCAGAACAATTCTGATTATGTTCAGAGAGTTATACCAACCCTAGTGATGCCATACTACCTTGCAGATCTTATCTTATATTGATTGGTTGATCTCTAGTCTTGTTCATTATAGACTTCTATATAGGTACAACCAGAACCCGATTTGGTACTTTTACATTGCACAAGGAAGTTATACACCTACCTCCAAGATTTTCCCTTCTATAATTAGATTATTCGGCTGTGCCAGAGGTGCTTTCAATTTTGGTTAGACCAATCATTTATTACAGTCTGTCCTCGTATTTACCGCTTCTCTTACTATTTCAGTCTTAGTTACTTGTTAGACTACTCTCCCAATCAAATCCTCTTCTTGGATCCCAATTAAGACTTATTTGCACAATCTGTTGATTATCCTTTCAAACAAGTACCTTCAAGTTAGGTGCAGGAATGTTGATACTGCCTATATTAGGAGGTATAAAGATGTTGGTGTTGTCTTAGCCTAAAGGACTTATATGTGAAATCCTTTCATAACTGTAACCTTCTGTAACAACTGCTTGTTACACATAGTGCCTCCACTTCACGATTGGGACTTCTTTCGAGAATTTCTATTTTTATTGTTGTACTGCACTTGGACTTTTAACCACAGGGCTTCATGTTTAATTATAGGCTTCTTATTAGGTTACAGAAGCTAAAATCTTTCAATTTTGCCTCTAGCTGGACTTGAACTGTTGATCTTGACTGTGAAGAGTATAGGAGCTTAACCACTAAGCTATGAGACCTACACCCCATTATCTGTTAATAAAAGACAATAAAGTTTTTTTAATATCTATAAAACTTTTCAAAAACATGAAAGCTCAATTTAATGCTAAACAAGACACTCAAGTTAATGCTAAACAAGATAAAATTTGTACAGATTGCAATCAGCTTCATTTAATCTAATTCTTTTTGAAAAATAACAAGATTATTAAAACATATTCAATATGTAAAGACAAAAGAAATAGACAAAATATGCAAAAACATGCAGCTGCAGATGCTATAGCAAATACAAGTACCAGTCACATTACAATAGATGATTTTTTTACTATTCTAAAAACAATGAAAGGTTAAAATATAGAAAATTTTAAGCAAATTATTAGCATTGATGAACAAACAGCTTCAATAGATCCAAAAGAGGTTGCAATATACATTTTAGATAATATTCTTGCAATTATAAACTTCAAGTTCAAGTAAGCAAATATAAATTAAAAATATTTAAATAAATATATTAAAATTCAAATTAAAAATTAATTAACTTGTTTTTTAAAGTTATAAAGACAAACTTCTAATGAAATCAGAACATATATCAAAATTTAGATACTACTGTGCACAATTACTTGATAGACAAAAAAAACTAAAAAAGCATAAAGATTTTACCAAACATAGAGATCATTTGCCAATGCAAAGGTTTTATTATAAAGGCTGGCTAATGTTTACTATAGACACAGAAAAAAACCAAATTGAAGTTGAATTAGTTCACAAATATCATGCTGAATATGCTAATGTATGTGTAATAAATGAAATAAAAGAATATATTCAAAACAATCTTCAGAATATGTCTTGAATTATATAGGAAAGTATTGGCACAAGAAGCTTAAATATTACTGAGAAGCAGATATATTATTGGTGAATAAATTTTAGTCAGCATATTTGAAAAAAAAATAAAAATAAAAATCAAATCTAATCAGCTATTAAAATTATTAAAGAATGTGATGATACTGAAATAATATTAAGTATTGTAAAAAATAAAGTTATTATGATTAGCTTTAGAGTTATAGAGCTAATTAATAAATTAGATATAAATGCAGTTGAGATCAGTGTAGATGTAACATATATGTACTATTATTAGTATTGCAAGCTAAACTCTAAAATTAATTATCTTTTGGAACTTTAACCTTATCCAATCTGAGTCTCTAAAAATCTTAATTTAAAATTTGCTTAACAAACTGTTAACCTATTTAAAATAAGTTTGAGTAATGAATTACAACTTATTTAAGTTTAATCAATAAATTTACAATATAATATAATATTTAAAATTCTTTTACCAATATTTGAATATTAAGTACATTGTCTATCATATTAGAATATTATTTATATTTAATAATTAAATATAAATTCTACTTTTAGAGACTTCAGATAATTTATTAAATTCATTATTTTTAAAATTTGAAACTTGGTGAAATGAATTTCACCAAGTTTTAAAGTTTAATCTAAGCTAGCTTTTCAGTTTAGCATGCAACACTAGTTTTAAATAATTAAATTATAAAAATTATTTATATTAATAATTAATACTATTATATAACAGATAACACTAACAAAATGAATCTTAAGCTATATTTAATACTTGCTGAGATGAATAGAATAAGATTCCTATTGGCATATATGCTGCTAACTACAGCAACTGCAATTAATGATAGAACTTACACAAATATGATTACACAGTTTTTTGATATGCTGCATAATATAGGAATCAATTCTGTTTTTGTAATAACTGACAAAGACTCTGCACAAATTTTAGTAGCAAAAATAGTATGGCTAGATGCATATATTCAGCTTTGCTTTTGGCATCTAAAATGAGCAATAAAAAGACAACTTGGATTAAAAAAAATGGCAAGAATAATATGATATTCTGCAAGCAGAACAAATACGGAATTTTCATTTATTGATCTTGATTTTTGTCCTGAAATTATATCACAACAGCATAATATTAGCTCTAATAATAATAAGTTAATACAATTGCCAGTTGAAATACCAAATAGAAAAATACCATTTCCTTTTGTCTAATAAAATATTATAACTATATTATCAATCTCATAACCAAGCATTTTAATCAATACTCTTATATTCTTGCAGACAACATGCAGTACTATTCTCCTGATCAAATTCATGAAGCCACTATTAAGAAGATGTATATGTACTGCAAGAATAATAATCTCAAGTGAGCATGGTCATATCTGTGAATAGAGTAATATGATTTATCTAAATGGCCTAACTGGGCACGAAGTGTCAAAAATAAAATTTTAGTATTAAAAACAACAATAATCATAAAATTATACTAAAAACTTATTAAACATAATTACATTTATAAATTTAATAAACTACATGTCGATTTACTTGTATGGATTCTTATCAAATATCTTCTTCTATGATATATAGTTAAGATGCAACATTTAGAATTAGATTACAAAACAAGAGCTTTAGCATCACAGCAACCAGCCTTCAAATGTTCTTGAAAGACATGTTTAAAAAAAGAATTAGATGGTAGTTTCTATATTACTAATCTAAACACATAAACTTGCTCATGTCTAGTTTACCTTTGCAGTCATTTTCTTCTTTGCAAACATCTGGTGCAATCCATGTAATCATTAAACCCAAACTTTTTTAATGAAGTTAAGCATTATAGATTCCTATCTTTTTGGAAACATAATAATCTAATTCTATTAACATGAGGCTTAGAGCCAGTTGAGGATGATGAACTTGAAAAAGAAAATAAGGTAGTAAATAAGGATAAACTTGATATACAAGAAATTAATGAAGAATTTGCAAAAGCATTACAAGAATATAAAGAAGGTGAGAATGATATAAATGATAATATAATTGTTGAAGAATCTAATGAGACATGAGAAGAGATTAATAGCTATGTTAAAAAAAATCTTTAAAAATAGATTGATCTATTAAAAAGTCAAGAGTCATACAAAGATATCTGATTTTTGTTAGCAGTAAAAGATGTGATATCTGAAATAGAAAAAATGTTAAAAAAGTGTGAAACATTAAAAAATAGAAAAATATTGCCAAGAATATAGAAAGACTGTAATAAATATACAATGTTTTATAAAATTGTATAATTTTTATTATTACATTGAGAAGAGCATATTGTCACTAATGAGTTATAAATATAGACCAAATACAATAATTGAACATTATTAAATTACTTAAATATCATATTATTATTTTAAAGAATTTGTGATTATTATAATTGTATTAATATAATCATGCTTATTTATATGATAATAAATTATGAGCTTGTAATTAATATAAAATTAAATAATTAAATAATCAACTTAAATTACATTGTAAAAGAAATAAAAATATTTAGATTGTATAATTTTGTCTAATTCTTGACTCAAGTTCATTGATCTTTTAATATTTATGATTTACTTGAATGCCTATCATATAGAAAATATAAAATAAAAATTAGCTTAAATATTCATTCCAAAATTATACTTCACTCTTTGCACTCAATGATATTGAAAACAATTTAAATAATTGCTTAACTTTTACAATTGTTCAAGACAGGCAAGTATGATTTTCTCTTGTTGTTAAATGATAAAAATAGTTCATCCTTATATAATTTCTTATATTAGAATTATAGTTGTAAATTATTATTGATTTTATTCTTATATATTCTTGCCTTTAAGTTGAAAAAAATTCAAAAAAATTTTTTGAATTATAGTCTGCAAGAATGTTACATAAATACAGAAAAATTTTAGATGATCATCATATGACAGAGAAATTTTTTGGAAATGAGCTATGTAACTTGTTAAAAATTACATTCTTATGATCTAATCTTTGTTATTGTTGTATTAGGATGTTCATAAAATTAGTAAATTAAATAATAGTTTAAACACTACAGTTAAAAACATAAATTCAATAAACACACTATTCTAAAAATATATTATAGCAGTTTACAAAAAATGTGCTCTATGATTTTTATGATAATAATAATAAAGAATTTCATTTTCTATTAATCATATATACAATCAGTGATAGCTATATGTATTTAAAAATCTGTATAATTCTCTTAAAATTGAAAATTATCTAATTTTCTGTGATTTTACATTATATGATAATCTGCAAAGATCACATTTTTTTGCAAAATGCAATAATTAAATTTCTATAAAAAAATAATAAAAATCAAAATAAAATTATAAAAATTAATCAAAAAAATGCAATTGCACCTAATATATTGTAGATTTATTATAATTTTAATTTAAAGATATTAAGTAGTTAAGATTTAATTATATAGACTTAGTTCAGAACTTAAGCTGTTATTATTAAAGTTAAATTCAAGTTTGTTAATGTGTAAATTAGTCTGTTCTGTTATGAGACTTCAGCCCTAATATTTAAATTTTATATTAAAATCAAATGACAATATAAATAAAAAAGCTTTGAAAACATATGCAAATTGGTGGAATTGGACTCTACTTTGACATATAGTTTATTATTAATTTTGTACTTATTTAAGTTATACAGCTTACACCCAAAAAATTTTTCTGTTATATGATAATCATCTAAAATTTTTCTGTGTTCATGTAACATCCTTGCAGACTATAATACAAATTTTCTTTTTAGATTTTTTTTAACTTAAAGATGAGAATATATAAGAATAAAATTAATAATAATTTACAATTATAATTTAATATAAGAAATTATGTAAAAATAAACTATTTTTATTATCTAACAACAAGAGAAAATTGTACTTTGCTATCTTGAACAATTGTAAAAGTTAAGCAATTATTTAAGTAGTTTTCAATATCAGTGAGTACAAAAAGTAAAATATAATTTTGGAACGAATATTTAAGCTAATTTTCATTTTATATTTTCTATATGATGAGTATTCAGATAAATCATGAATATTAAAAGATCAATAAACTTGAGTTAAAGATTAGACAAAATTATATGATCTAAATATTTTTATTTCTTTTACAATGTAATTTAATTTGATTATTTAATTATTTAATTTTATATTAATTACAAGCTTATAATTTATTATCATATAAATAGGCATGATAATATCAATACAATTATAATAGTCACAAATTCTTTAAAATAATAATATGATATTTAAGTAATTTAATAATATTCAATTATTATATTTGGTCTACATTTATAACCTATTAGCAACAACATGCTCTTTTTAATGTAATAATAAAAATTATGCAATTTTATAAAACATTGTATATTTATCATAGTCTTTTCATGTCCTTGGCAATGTTCTTCTATTTTTTAATATTTTACATTTTTTTAACATCTTTCCTATTCCAAATATCACATCTTTTGTTGCTAACAAAAATTGGATACCTTTGTATAGCTCTTAACTTTTTAATAGATCAATTCATTTTTGAAGATTTTCTTTAATACAGCTATTAACCTCTTTCTATATCTTATTAGATTCTTCAACAATTATATTATTATTTATATTATTCTCATCTTCTTTATATTTTTGTAATGCTTTTGCAAATTCTTTATCAATTTCTTGTACATCAAGTTTATTCTCATTCACCACCTTATCTTCTTTTTTAAGTTCATCATTCTTAACCAGCTCTAAGTCTCATGTTAATGGAATTAGATCATTATGTCTTCAGAAAAGTGAAGATCTATAATGTTTAACTTCATTAAAAAAGTTTAAGTTTAATAGTTATATGGATTGCATCAGATGTTTGCAGAAAAGAAAACGACTGCAAAGATAAGTCAGATATGAGCAAGTCTACATGTTTGAATTAGTAATATAGAAACCACTATCTAATTCTTTTTTCAAACATGTCTTTCAAGAATGTTTGAAGACTAGTCATCATGATGCTAAAGCTTTTGTTTTGTAATCTGATTCTAGTTGTTGCATCTTAATTATATATTATGAAAGAAAATATTCGATAAGAATTCATACAAGTAAATCAACACATGGTTTATTAAATTTATAAATATAATTATGTTTAATAAGTCTTCAGTGCAATTCTATGAACATTGTTGTTTTTAATATTGAAATTTCATTTTTGGCACTTCATGTCCAATTAGGCCATTTAAATGAATCATACCACTCCATCTATAGATATAACTATGCTTACTTGAGATTATTATTCTTGCAGTATATATACATTTTCTTAACAGCAGCTTCACAAATTTGATCAGATAAATAGTATTGCATGTTGGCTGCAAGAATGTAAGGATGTTGATTAAAATGCTTGGTTATGAGATTGATAATATAGTTATGATACTCTAGTGGACAAAAGAGAATAGTATTTTTCTATTTGGTGTTTTAACTGACAATTGTATTAACTTATTATTATTATTAGAGCTAATATTATGCTGTTGTGATATAATTTCAAGGCAAAAATCAAGATCAATAAATAAAAATTCTGTAGTTATTTTAATACAATTTCTTGGCAGAACTAATTCTAAACATCAACTTAACCTCAATACAAATTATGTGAACCTTATTTGCTCTACTATTATTAAGCATCCAACTTGTATTTCTTCTTTATCTAATATTTTCATTATTAATTTAATTGCTTTTGAAATTTTTATCTCAAATAAAGCTACTAACAAATTTATATCTATTTCTAACCAAAATCATTCTTATCAACAACTATTCTTTTATACTAATAGCTTAGTAATTGATATTGGTACTAACTAATTTATAATAAATATTAGTTAGATCCAAGTTGATAATAATAATTAAACTATTAACTCTTTCTTTACTAAATACAATTCTAATTCTTATCATATAAAGCAAAGCTTTTTTCAATTATTATTACAATTTTAACAGCTTTATACAATTTAGTAGTTAATATTTTTACTAATTTTCAATTAGTAATTTCTAAATTCAATAACCTTTAATTTAACTTAACTTATCTCAATAAGCTATTCAAATTTAACTTATAGTCTTTTAAATATTATTAAATTACACAAACTACAAATTATCTTTTATAAAATGCAGACTTAATTAGATAATAATCTTAATAAGCAAGCAGACTTTCTTGCCAAACAATATTTATTATTATCATTTTTTTTATTTAATTATACAAACTCTTATAACTCTTATCATATTTTTCAATAAGTGCAAAATTATGTAAAACTTTTTACAAAATACTTTATTAAACAAATATGTAAAGCCTACATATTAGCTATATAGAAATTATAAAAAGCAACAGTAAGTAGTCATACTTCAATTAGGATATTAACTAAAGATTCACTTGGCTTTATTTTAATTATAACCAAAAACCTTTATATAATATTATTAATTTTAAACTCAATCAACTAAAATTTTTTAAAATTAAAATTCTTCTTAATGAGTTATTAACAAACCAATTATTTTATACAATTTACTTAAACTAATACTTAAATACTAATTGCTTTTATTATAACCTAGCTAACTTTCATTTTTACTAACATACTTATGCTAATGCATTCTTGCTTAACTAAATTATTTAAACTTCTATTAACTAAATTGTTTTTAACAAATTATCTAATTTTAATACTTACCAAAAAAATGATCTAATTTATAAAAGTTTTCACTATCCAACTTTCAATCCTTTATACATCTTATCTAATACATTTTATTTTAACTTTATCTTTAAAGAACTTATCTCAAAGTTACTTATATTAATAGTTCAAAACTCTGACATATTATATAAAACTGCTTTCCAAGTTATTATTGATATTCTTCTTAATATTAATAAACAATTATATGATAATTATGAAAAACATATTGCATTTATTTCTTTAACTGAAAAAACAACAAAATGGACTTTAATTTCAACCAATTAACAAACTCTTAATATCATTCAACTCAACAACTAGGCATACATGTTTTTAAAGAAACTATACTTACTTATGTTTCTGTGAA